CTATTTTTATGTAAGATCGGTAATTTCGCAAGGATGAAACTTGTCGCTGAAAAACAAATGCAAATTCAAATCGGTCTTGAATACTTTTATGGCCTGGTAGTCGCCATAAGGCAGTGGCGTACTCAGGATTCCGGCTCGGGGGAGGGGGGACAAAAAATTTTTTCAAATGAAGGTGCGTGGCGTCAGCCACGCACTCCAAAAAAATTTTAGGGGGGCTTCTCAAAATTTTTGTCTGCCCCCAACCCACGCCCCCGAAAAAAAATTTTTTTATAAAGCTAATTTGAATTTGTAAAAAAATTTGAAAATTATTTTAATTGTTTGCAAAAATAAACAAGTCACTTGCACATTTTTATGACCCATGTTAGTAACCTTTAGAAATTTTGCGACCCGTTTTCGGGGGGGGGGGGATGCCCCTCCCTTCGCCCACCCCCTCGATACGTCACTGCCATAAGAAAAGCAACCATTCTGAGCTACATCCCTCTGCAAAAAGCTCCTCAAATGCCCAAGGAAAACCTGGACAAATTCATAGTTCACACAAACAATACTTTTTGGCGCCGTTTTCATTGAGTAATAGACTTTTGACCACCTTTGGGCTAAAGATCATGGCTTGCACATCAATTTGCCAAACATAATCACAACTTTGCAATAGTGCTACGGACCCAATATTGAACGCCAGACGTTAATTGGATTGGGGTGTGAATTTTAAGGAACCCATTCAATGGATCTGCTTGTGCTTTGGCATGATGAATCTGGATGATGGCAGTGTGTGTTGCGCAAAAAAGTGCGGCTTGAAATCATGTCTACGACTCGTTCTGTGGATTTCGTTACATACAGACAGACACACAGACACACAACGTGGTTCCACGTCTTAAGCAATAAAACCACGAATCAACGCTGATAAAAAGGAGCTATTTTATGACATCATCAGAGTGTATGTGTGCAAAATATGATCAAGAAATAAATGGGTTTATTAAAGCAAAGAGTATTATTTGAAGTGGACATGCAGACAATTATAGAGCCAATACAGAAGCAAGTGGAAAAAAGGACATCTATTCTAGCTTCCCCCGTTTTCCCCAGATCGCGTGCCGAATTTTCTACACCACATAGTCATGTACATCTTTCGGTGAATCGAGTCCACACAAAAAAATCATTTTCATCCACAATTGCCCTCCTTTATCATTACTTTCCCGGCCTGAGTAAAACTTAGAGGCGCATCCAATATCTGTCATATTCTCGTCGATCGCCATCTAAAACAAAAGTACGAATAGTGATGATCAGACTCAAGCTCAACAAATCTGTGCAAATGATTCAAAAAAGATATAAAGGAGGGTCTGAGAGCTTAAAGGTCTCAATTTCGTGCCTTTTTTTTACCGATCTACATATCAGATAGCGTACATAGACAAGACAAGCAAGCATATGAGCAGCTTTTCTTACTTATCATAGCAGCCATGCTCTTGCAGTGACTTTTCTGAGAACCCTTGGATGATCGCCAGCATTCTACACTCCTTTTTTAAAAGACTAACACTTTTTGGCTTTCCCAACTGTTTCCCCATACCAGTCTTGTAGTGATCAGTCTATATTTCGCTCTTTCCGTTTTCAGAAAAAAAAACTAAATTAGGTACCATCTATTGCAGCTTTGTTTTATTTCTGGATGTCATTTTTTCGTGCAATCAGTGCAGATTCTTGCAGATGTAATCATTCTCGTTTACTTTGAGAGCGAGCGTAAAACCTACTCAAAATTCGAAAAAGCTGATATTCTGAAGCGATGGGCCGTTTGAATCGCATGCTTTGGCTTGCTTTGAGATGTAATTACATATTTAAGTGCTGAAAGCAAATTTTTTGTTATCGCAGCAGTGCAAGCTAAATTATAGATTGGAAAGAAAGGTGCTGCATTTTACGTTATCATGTACTAACGGTAGAATTCACACCAAAAAAGCGCGTAAAATACCGTTTGATATAACGAAGCAATGTCTACAAGAATGCATCAAAACAACCACAACAAGTTTTATTTACATGAATTTTGAGGCAAAATTTCAAAGAGTCTCAACAACCCGTTAAGTTGAAACTTCCAATAAATCGTACGAGTCGTCAACTTATTCAAGCATTTACTCTCAATATTAGACACTTATGTGCATAATTGCTGTACTTTTTCACGGTTAGAATTGAAGAACACAAAAATTTTCAAGCTTCCAAAGCAAAGCTTAGCTGCCTACATGCAATGAGTCTTTATTAACCTTTACCAGTGCGTCACCTCGCTTCGCAGAGGCTCGCACTGGCCCTACCTTCTGTATGCCTTACTCATTCCCGCATAAAATGACATTGAAACTCATTGCGCTATGAAGGCTATCACGAATAATTCGTAAACAACTACTCATTCCTAAAGGTTTTTCGCGCGAGATCGGTATTTCCACGTGGATAAAATTTCTTCCAAAAGAACAAATGCAAATTTGAATAGATTTTTGGACTTCTTATGGCTTGATAGTTGCCTTAAAGGCAGTACATCGGCAGAATGAGACCCGTGACAAAACAAGGTCACAGGGTAGGAGCCCCCATATGGAACCTATCGGCCAATGTCCAATCTTTCTCTGCCACTTCTAACCCCCGAAATTTCAAAGCGAAAGCAGCGCTCATCTCCTCTCCTCTCCGAACCCGCCCACTCCATGTACGAGTGACTTCCGCGGTCAGAGCGCCAGCGGCAATGCTGTAAGCATGAGGTCCCGCAACGACTCTGCGTCTTCGCCATGACGGGCTTCGCGTTCACTCGTCCATGGGGTGGGCGGGTTCGGAGAGGACAGGAGAAGAGCGCTGCTTTCGCTTTGAAATTTCGGGGGTTAGAAGTAGCAGAGAAAGATCGGACTTTGGCCGATAGCTTCCATATGGGGGCTCCTACCCTGTGACCTTGTTTTGTCACGGGTCTCATTCTGCCGATGTACTGCCTTTAACGACAATAATCACCGTGGGCTTTATCACTTTGCAAAAATCTTCTCAAATGATCACGTAAAATCTTGGCGAATTGAACATTTACGCAACTAATTCTTTTTGGAGCCATTTTCGTAAAGTAGCGAACTTTAGTTCAGTTTTCTGGGCTAAAGTCCATTGCCTCCACATTAGCTGTCGAAAATATTCAAGATATCGCAAAAAGTGGTGGCACAGGCCCAATTTTGCTGATCGAAAGCCAGGTGGATCCGTTTGACGCGCAATTTTTGAGAGATCCACTCAGCGGATCCGCTCGTTCTTTTGCACAATGGACTTTCATGATGTTAGCTTGCGCCATGCAAAATTTGGGCTCAGGACGTTAGCTGTAACACGCTCCTCGAATTTCGTAACGGACAGACAGACAGACAGACAGACACACACACACACACACACACACACACACACACACACACACACACACACACACACAAAAACACGTAAGCATCCTTAGCCCGTTATTATAAGTCACCAGCGCGTCACCTCCGCTTCGCGGAGGTTCGCACTGGCTTCCTATCCGTATGCCTTTCTCATTTCGCACGAGAATGGCTTTGAAACTCACCACGCGATGCTGAGCATCGCAAATGAATCGTAAACAACTGTTCATTCATGAAGCATCTCCATGTAAGATCGGTAATTTTGAGAAAAAAAAACTTCGTTGCAAAGAAACAATGCGAATTTGAACGGATTACTGAGTTTATTTTAGTTTGATAATCGTCATAAGGATAATAGTCACCTTGAGCTACATTTCACTGCAAAAATCTTTTCAGTTTTTTCAAATAAAGCCTTGCCAAATCGACTATCTACGCGTTCATCACTTTTTGGCGCCGTTTTCGCAAAGAAGCAAACTTTTTGAGCACTTTTTGGGTTAGAATTCATAGCGCGCAAGTGACTTGTCAGGCAAATCATAACTTTGCAAAAAGTCGAAATAGCGGCCCAGTTTTGCGTGCCAAAAGGCGCGTGGACCCGTTTGACGCGCAAATTTTGAGGGACTCGCTTATCGAACCGGCTCGTCCTTGCGCGTGGTGGGCCTACACGCTGGCACGGTATGTTGTGCAAAATTGCAGCCCGATAACTTAACTGCAGTCTCCTCTTTGAATTTCGTGACAGACAGATTTTCACACAGACACACACACAAAAAACAGACGGCCTTAGCGCGTTATTATATTAGGGTGAACGGTAAAAAATGGGACACCTTGAGAATAATTGCAGATTTCTCAAGGAAGAAATGTGGTTGAACTTTCCAACTTTGGTGGATATTAGAATAAATTATTCTCTTTCAGAAAGTACCTGTATAAGGTCATTTACACACCTAGTAACTTTTATACTTGCTGAAGTGCAAAGTTAGTCACTTCGACAAATCATGAACTTCGAGCAGTTTCTGCGCAGTCAAACATGTGAGACCACCCAAAGTACCACTGCTGCAATGGGTGGTGGGACAGTCACCAAACCAACGACGACTTGGTGACATCAACTTTCAAAGTCAGGAGATATGGCCATTAACAGCTTTGAGAACGAAGATACGCGTTATTCAATTCTTTGCAGGTGAACGCATGTTTTCTAGGTATCATCTGATAGAGCTTTTTACGCTCTATCCATCCATATGCAGCTTACCTCAGATTTCATCTATCTTCGAAAAATGTAGGGCAAAACATGATTTTTTGGTTTTTGTTGCGCCAAAAATAGCTATTTTCCAGGATTTTTCGCTTTTTTTCTGAAATTGAGAAGAAAACTCATGCATTTAACATATCATTTGAAAGAGCATGAAGAGCTCTTTCGAATGGTATGTAATTTGCTATACAATTTTACGGTATAGCAGCGCAAGATTGAGAATTGTTCAAAAAACCCTGTCTGAGTTCTTCAAGGCGCCACGCGTAGGGTAGTGGAAGAGGAGCGTTAACGCGTTGTCAGAATAATAGGTGAAGGTCGCCCATGTAAGCGACATTTAAGTTGCAGCCTACTTGCTGTTGCTCGAAACAAAAAACTCCAAAATGTAACTAAAATCAAGCTGTCCCATTTTTTACCGTTCACCCATAGTAGGATCTTTTGCCTTTCATTATGCGAATGAGTTGTAGAAGATCGCTGTATGCTGAGTATGATAGAACAGAAGAATAGATTTGGGCTACTTAGGATGAAGGATAAAACGGAGAAGCAAGTGTGCTGCAGACTTAAGTATAAAAGAAATGTAATTAGGCGCCATAACGTTCAAGCAAAGGAGAGGAGGGGAGAAAGAGGTGAGGCCCATCGACTTATGGCCTCGAGCATACCTTACGTGTCTTGCCACGCGAACTGGCAATGTGCCACATCTCTTCAATTTCAACACCTGCAGACTACAATTTACATTATGTACGACTTTCGCATATAGATAAAATGTCCCACTTTCCGTTCTTTTAAAATGCGCTGACGATGGGTTATAAGCAGTGGATTACTGCCAAATCGCGTCGCGGCTAAATTCGCGTGGAGTTTTGAGGCCTTTGACGTTGTACGTCGCGGAGCGCCGATCGTCATTGTCAGACTGGCATTCAGATGGCTAAAAGAACGAGGTTTCGAATAGTTTGCTATTTATAAGAGGTGTAGAAGAAACGCGTATAAATTTTGAGATCTGCAAGAAAAGAAATTAGTGCAGTCACGGTGACAAGGTAGTGAGAATGACTCCGTTGACAATTAATGGATATATTTCTTAGGTTCAAAGAATCCCTGAAATTTGGCAGACGATGTCAGACGCTCATATTGTTTGGCAACTCTGAAAGATATCTGTGGCAACATAAAGGAGTTCCTCAGTGACGGCCGTCCACAATTTATGTCGTGTCCTGGACGCAATAGCTGGTGTAAAACTTTTTCTTGCAGCTATGGCAAAAGTTTAGTATCGCATCGCTTGTTGGCCTGCTGCCGTTCTTTTACGTAAAACCACCAATTTGTTCACCTAAGTGAGTCCATACAAAAAGACAGAAATGCAAATGAGCTGATTTTCTTAGGTACCTTGTCGTAAATGGCCTTCAGGAGGAAACATCAAATAACTAACAGTATGAACTGGACTGACGAGCATCCTCACATTGTCAGAGTAAAGTTAATGTTTGTCAAGCAAAGATCAGCTTTTACGATCTATAACTTTGTCAGATTTTGAATCTTAAATATCGTGAAAACTACGGGATCGTGATTGTCTTCGACTCGATACACAATTACTCTACCGAAAATAAATCAAGAAGATCATGAGCATGTTTTTCATGAAAGATATATCTCAAAAGCCATTTTTCTTTCCTCGATTACAACTGATTTGAAATAGAATTAATTAGTCATATAGCCAAAAGCCGTGTAGCCAATAGTAAAAGTACAGTCAAAGACTTGGTCGATAAGGTTCTGCTAATGAAAAAATGGAAACAGAAAAAACTTTTTGCTCGATATTTTTTGATGGGCTATATACACTGTTCTTTGATGGACTATATGCTGTCCAACACTATATCAACTTGACGACTAATATGGCGCAATCAAATTTTGGCATTACTTGAGTTATGATGACCTGCAGCAAAATCGCGAACTTCGTGATACTAACAAAATATGAAAAATCTGGCAATTTCCGGAAGCAGAGTGAAGTTTGAAATTTTGCAGAGTCAAAAATAAAAATGAAACCGCTCGCAAGCAATATCAAACACATTGAGCCACTGTGCATAAGTTGCTAGCATACAAGCAACAAGTAATGTACGGTTTCGGTCGATATATTGATTCAAGTTACGAACTCTTTCACTTTCGCTTTGAAATAAACAGGCAATATTATGAATTTGACATAGCTTCCGAAGACATATGCATATTTTATTATCAAAAAACAAATTTTTTGGTAGGTTACATCATAATTCACAGAATGCTGCAATGCGGTACTGAGGTTTTTTTAGAGATAAGCGTTGCAAAACTTTGTCGCTAACTTATATATGGTTGATTCATAATTAATGCACGTTTTTCTCACCTTTTCTTCCAGGAGCTGGTATTTGATGTGTAATCAATTTCCTCAAAAACTTTTTACGCTCTCTAAAAGAGCGTTTGTTTTAGTTTCTTAGGCGCCCCTTCGCTTTCGTAAATCTCCGTTCATACTAAAGTTCTGAGCCTTCAAATAAAAGAGATTAAATCCCAAAATTTTTGCTTTTCACTCTTTTTGCCCTAAATCCATTAGGAATAGCCTGATTAATTTCAAAAAATATGCACAAGGATTAGAAAAATTTGTGCTACAAGAAGCTATTTGAACGAAATCTTTAAGAATTCGGAGCCGAGAAATACAATTGCGAACTTGAATGATCGTCGCGGCCCTTCCGTGCCATATAAAACTTTTGAGCAAAATGCGATTGCAGGTCTTTTGCACTAACCAGCAAGGGTAGACGTAGTTCATTTGATGATGAAAAAGCGCTAGAGTTTTCTCACTTTCCAGCGGAGAAAAACGAAATAATTTCCGATTTTTGAACCCGCCGAAATGCCAGAAAAAAGTGAGTGTTTTCGCCTTTCTCGCGATATTTTCTTTCAAAAATTTTCCGTAAAATCTAAACTTGGCATTACTGCTCAAGAGGCTCTTGGCTACACGAAGAGCAAAGTCCGCTTTATCCTACTTCATTTCAGCATAAGTTATGCTATTCTAAAGTGGACGCTTCTGAAAAAAGTTATTGGCAATCTTCAGGCCAGAAAATCTTTCTTGTGATAGATACAGTCACGCAAAAGTATCTATTCTATAGCCACTGATTTGGTGGTTACAGTAGTTTTTATTGCGCCAGGATATTTCTTTTCAAGAAAGAATTATCTCGATTGAAAGTTGTAGTATAGAAAACGTGCATTAACTATGAATCAACCTAATATATTAGGTTGGTGCAATAAGGCGCGTTTTTTAGCCCATGTTTCGTGACAATCTTTTTCCATCAAACTTTCTTCTTTGGAAAAAATTAGCATGATTTCGAGAAGCTCTTTTCATCTATCCAAAACTGGTTAAAACGGGGTTTTAGCCTCATTTGTTGAAAACTTACAAAGCTTAACACGACCGCACTCGAAATCAAAATGATGCTGCTACTTCTCTGGCCGGAATTCAAGCGGCGCAAATGAAGGCATTTTTTTAAAAATTCAGCTACTGCAAGTAGTAGAAATCGTCTAGATTATGCATACCTACTATTTTCTTAGAAATTACTTCAGAAAAAAAACTTCGTATTTTGCGACATTGAGGGCTATGGAAAAAAAGTTGAAAAAATCCAACAATTTTGGATTTTGATTTTTTCCTTTTCGAAAATCTTCTTTGTTTAAGCCCTTTTCATTTTTTCTTGCACTACTGACTTGCGGCTACAAAATAGGCTGCTTTCTCTACTGACAAATTTTGAAGGGAGTTATGATCCGTCGAAAACGAGGTTTCAAAAGAAAAATCTTTACTTATCAATCCATATTTTTCTGCCTGTTCGTGTTATGAATGTAGGTAGATGTGCGCTCTTTTGCGAAAGATTGCTGGTCTAAGATAAAGACTTTTTCGATAAAGACTCTAGTGGTCTTTATCGAAAAAAACGTAGATTTTTGCAGAAAGTTATAGTTAAGTCAAAAGAAAGTTACGTCAAAATGAGAACTGGCAACGTGGTAAACCTATACTTCTTACAGTTATAAAAATAAGAGTTATAAAAATTTTCAATTGAGTATATACTCATCTAACACGCTCAAATATTACTCCTCTTACATATCTTATATATAAAGCTCAATGTCTGTTTGTCTGTATGTATGTCTGTATGTGTGTCTGTACGTATGTTCCGAATAGAAAATTCCAACCGATCCGGACCAAACTTGGCACACATACACTTCGGGGCAGGGCGGGTGTCATAGGCTACTTTTGGTCATCGATCGATATCGATTTGATCGATTTTTTGCAGAATTTGAGCTACAGGGCTGGGAGTTGGCACAGGGGGGTAATCGAGCATGCTGATTACAAATATATTATTGACAGAGCCGGGCGGAGCCGGGTAAGCCATCTAGTACTACATATATCAAGAGAGTTTATGAAATGCAATTATGCCATAAACAAATAAGCACACCGCTGTGACCAGAAGAGCTGCTAGCTTATGTGATCACTGCCTTTTTTGATCAATTACTTTTTGAACGTAAAGTAACCGGTCAAAGAATTGACACAGTTGACGTGTCAAATGGCACATGAAATTATCTAAATTTTGTGCTCCCTGTTACTCACTTGACACAGTTGGTCATCGAATTCTACTCCGAGGACATGCTTATTTTTGCCCGTTCTGCAAAATTGAAAATTTTCTTGTTACAAAAGAAAAATAGAGTCTTACCGGGCCTTAATAACAAAGACATCACGCTGAACTGTTGTGGGTGGGTCCACACCTGAGTGTTTCAGGGGCCACCATGTGTGACATTCCGTCCAGCAATTGTATAGCTAAAAAAATTCCTTCCGTTGAAGCATGCGCCATTAGCATATTTAAGTTATCCGAGCCTACCCTGGACTGCGTTTGGATTATTCGCAGTGTTCATCAAAATGGATAACACCAGAAGAATTTCAATATTACTGCAAATGTGGACGACAATTTGTAGACCTACCAGCTCATGACCTCGCATTTGGGGATATTTCGCCTGGCATGTTTCCGTAATTTCGTGCCGAAATTGAACTCTATATTCTTCGATCATTTCATTACCATAACAATTCGGATGTTGCTTGTTACAGTTCTCCCTGGGAATCTCTTTATCTTTGCGAGGATCAAGACTAGAAACACCAAGCTGAAGTAATGTTGTCAGTTTTGGATTATTTCAAAAAATGCTACTTACAATAAAAGCAGCACAGTAAAACATTCCGCATGTGAGACTCGCACAACTACCGTACGTATTCATTGCTTCTGAAATTCAGATTATCTAGAAACAAAATACTTAGTTCATCAAGAGCAGAGTTACATTCGCGGGTCACTTCAAATTGATGAGAATGTAATCTTTTTGTCTGAAAAGCACAGCATGCCGACAAGTAAATTAACTCAATGAAACTACAGCATAAAGGCATCGTCCACCCAGATTCTCGACTTCCTGGTTTTTGTCGTTTCAGGGCCTTCTCATGTCCCTGATTCCAAATATAAAGTTAAAAATCTGCAAAAAAAATCCCGACAATTCCCATTACGGAGAACCCACAGGCCGGCTTTCCAGAACGGTGATTATGAGCGCGCACAAATGGGCGGGCATGGATGGGGAGGGGCGCGCATGGATGGGGGTCCTCGTGCATTTTAACTACTCCGAAGCGGCATTTTGCGCTGCGACTTGGACATTGGTTTGATAGGAGGCCCTACTGTTATATGCTGCCAAAAGCTCAGCGCCCACAACTTAGGGTGGATGGTTCCTATAAGTTACATTTCAAAATGCATTCCAGATGCCTTAATCAACAAGCTTCTCATGAACTCGCAATGTACTCACAAATGCGCCCGACAGAGCCCACAGTAAACATGCAATTTTCCAAGCTATACATACCCGACTTGGATCACAGCTACTACCTTAAGAGGGCAAACTCATCTGCAATAAGTGTGTGATAGGTTAAGGAGATCTTTAAAAAAATTCTGATAACGATCTATCACATCAAGGCCCATCCCATGTTTCGGGCGTGTGCGTTTGATCACTTCGAGTATCAAATTTTGTATCTGAGGAGCATCAAACCTTAGCTTAAAGAGACTGAAAATGATATTTTTCTGAGAGGTGCCAAAAGAAGTATCAGGGTTGTGCAAGAGATGTGGTACACAACCGTCGATTACGACCCTTTCCTCCTTCATCCTTTGTCTACCGTGGGAATAACATAGAGGTTCTACCAAGCATAATTGGTAGCATATCGGTAACTATCATGTTAGATAGCACTGGGGACCGCGTTTCTGCGAATTCTGAGGGGTTCGCAATATTGAGCCAATCAAGTGAAGTGGTCATTTCCAAACATGGTCTATATCTCAAAAGCGAATTAGCTACTTCTTTTTACACTCAGACAAAGCATTACTCTTTATTTGCTCATACCATAAATCCTGCTTCAAACAATCATCGAACTATGGATTTAGGAGCAAGCCATTCCATTTGTCTCATTTTTCGCTCACAGCAATATGATTTTTGCTGAAAGAAGATGAATTTAGCTCTCATCATTTCTAGAAAAACTATAAATTTTTGGCTATCGAAATGTATAACTTCGTTTGCTCAAATTTGGTTTAAAGATAAGTTAATGGGGTATGGCACAACCCCACAAAAGCTGTGACTGCCACACCTTTTTAGGGGTTTGCCACACCCCATTAACTCAACTTCAAAACATCTAAATATCTGTTTTTTATATCGTTGCCACTGTTAAATCTTCTTCTCTACACAATAGGATTTTATCAAAGTCTATCTTAGGGAAAGTTGTAGTCGTTTTTCTTTACCTGCACAAATGAAAAATACTGCAAAATTGATGGGTTACAATAGCATGATAAGTCTGCGTCATTACGTAAATCGTGAAGGAAGGCGCCAAGAATGAATACATTTGATAGCCTAGAGATGGTATGTTCACAAAAGTGAATTGCTCCTTTTTTTGATTTAGTTTTTCATTACTTAGATACTTAGATACTTAGATGGCCCCTCTTCATGTGGCGCGCGGGCCCCAGCACAAAAGTTTCCATCGGTCCCTGTCCCTCGCTTCGACATCCACGATCTTCTTGGTTGACGTCGGTGGCTGCATCCACGTTCAGGTGCGAAAATCGTATCCAGCTGATTTCTTAGCTGGTCCATCCGTTCCACGAACACGTCTGCCCATCTCGTCGGTGGCCTTCCTCGGGTACGTTTGGCTTCGCGAGGAATCCACTCGGATGTTCTTAGTGTCCATCTGTCGTCTGTTTCTCTCATGATGTGACCGGTGTTTCGCGTTCGCAACGTATTCCGCTGGGTCACGATGACGGGACATTCTTTTCATTTCCGTACTGCGAAATCTGACTAGATTTTGCTTGTGTCGGGTCATCTTCAGAAGATACGCTGTAGCGCTTTGTGGGTGGTCCGTAAAGCTTTCGACGTGGCTGCTGTGTCGGCCCAAGTCTCAGCTGCGTAACAGAGCGCCGGGAGAACGGTTGAGTCGAACAGGTGGGCACGAAGCTCCGGGTCCATCAGTTCGTCGGTGGCTTCCTTCAGAGGCCCGAAGGCGGCCTAGGCTGCTCTTCTTCTCCTGTTAAGTTTTTCCTTCAAGTCGTTCTCCATGTTCATCAAACGTCCGAGATACACGTAATAAGACGTCTCCATAATAGGGTGCCTTCCAATTCCATTTCTGCATCTTCGCAAAGGGCGTTCTTCATGAACTGAGTCTTCTTCCGATTTATTCGCAATCCGATCTTCTTCCCTACTTCGTTCAGTTCCTTCAACATCGTCTCTGCTTCAGTGATACTGCTCGAAAAGAGAACGATGTCGTCCGCAAAACGAAGGTTGGATAGGAATCTCCCATCAACTCGTATGCCTCTCTCATCCCACTCCAGTGACTTCATCACCCACTGCAAGGCCGCGGTGAACAGCTTCGGCGAAATAGTCTCGCCTTGTCGGACCCCCTTCCCGATCGGAATGGTCAGGGGGCGATGGAATAGCTGCATCGTTGTTGTACAGTCCTTGTAGCAGTCGGCTAGTGTCCTCACGTAGGCTGGGTCTACTCCTTGATCGACTAGTGCTGACTGGCATTCATTTCGACGCTGTCGAAGGCTTTCTCATAGTCGACGAAGGTTAGGACGAGAGGCAGTTGGTATTTCCGGCAGACTTCTATGACTCTCGAAACCGTCTGGATGTGGTCCATGCAACTGAAACCCCTTTCGGAATCCAGCTTGTTCTTGGGGTTGGGCTTCATCCAGTGTCCTAGATATGCGAGCGAGGATTTTTTTGTGAAGAGCTTGTACAGCACACTCAGCAGGCATATTAGACGGTAGTCCCGAAGATCCTCTTGTTCATCCTTCTTGAAGAGAAGGACGGTTTTTGATGTTCTCCACTGGTCGGGAATCTTCTCCTTCTGAAGGTAAGATGTCAAATGCGACGCTAGAATCTCGTGTAGATGTCCTCCGGCTCGCAAAAATTCGACGGGAAGATGGTCTGGTCCTAGAGCCGTGGACGTTTTCATGGTCTGGATCGCCGTGCGCACTTCAGCAGGTAGAATTCGTGGTGGTACTTCTCCAGTGGGAATAACGGGCATGTCCACGGGTGTTGATGAGCGGAAGAGGTTGGTGCAAAAGTCCTTCGCGATAGATTCCATCTTGTATCGGGAAGAAATCGGAGTTCCGTCTTCGTTTAATAGTGCAGCCAGCGCTACGTGATATTCACAGAAGTACCTTCGGCACTTCTTGAAACTTCGTCTTCCTTCGGCTGCATCCATTATCTTGGCTCGCCTGACTTCCTGAGATCCTCCTGCAGAGCTGTTCTGCAACTGACGTTGGCTACCAGTCCTCGAGATGGGTTGCATTCGGATCCTGCCTCAGAAATCTTCTTCTTTCGAGCAATTCCTTGGTGGTCTTCGAAATGCGTTCCAAGTTCTTTTCAGAAGTCACTGAGGCGCGTTCTCCGCAGGTTCGCATTCCTTTCAGAAGCCGGTCGTAGTCGTAAGCTCTTCTAACCTGTTACCGTCATAAACGAGTTCTTTCCTTCTTGCGGCGCTGTGGCAAACTTTCTTTTCCAGCTTTTGACTGAATCGTATCTTCGCTCGAAGGAGGCGGTGATCGGAGCCACTGCAGAAGGATGGAACTACTGAGACATCGAGCAAGCTCCGCCTTCGGTTGGTGAAATTGCGGTCGATCTCCGCATGAATCGTTCCGTTGGGCGATTTCCAAGTCCACCGGCGATGTTCCTTCTTCAGAAGATGGAATTCTCATGGAAAAGTCGTGCGGCGGAGAGAAGCCCAACGAGACGGTTGCCGTTTTCGTTCCGGAGCCCATATCCAAACCTCCCAATCCTATTTTCCTCTTGTAGTGGTATCCCGATCTTTGCGTTGAAGTCGCCCACAACGAACTTATAGAAGGACTTCTCGTTGCGGACGACCTGCTCCACGTGTTCGTAGAAAGCATCTGGTTCTGAGTCGTCAGCTGCTGATGTTGGTGAGTAGCAGTTGATGATGCTGATGGTCTTCTGACGTGGAGATCGTAGTCGTGGGATGGCTAGTCGAGGTGACAGGATCTCATGCGAATCGACAAGATGGACGATTGATGGGTGGTCGACAAAGCCAACGCCTCCAACATTTCGTGATGGAACCTTCTCACCATGAATGACGAGTGTCCTATCACTCATCTGTCGCACGTCCTTCTTCCTGGACTTCGTTTACTGTAGAGCGGTGACGTGATATTTGATGTGCTATTCAGCGTCGAGGAGAGCGTGGGTCGGCATTTGTGGACACTGTCCTGGCGTTGTAAGTGCAGAGCATGAGGCAGTCTCCATGGCGTATCGTCTGGGCAGACGTGTCGTTCTTGTCCAATCCAAAAGGCGCCCTGAGTACCCTGACATCGTTCTTGCTACCACCCGGCGCCGTAGGCGGGATCTTATGTGCAGGGTTTATTTCTCTTCTCTTTGCTGAACGAGTAATAGAAATTTTTCTCCTACAAGAGCAGACTTACTAGGCCAACTCTTGACTTCCACGGGGCGATCGCTGACCCTGATGTGGAGCGAGGAGGGACCGCCTAGCGACCTGAGAAAGTCAGATGGCGGGGGATCTGGCCTGCCCGGCTCTTAGCTAGGCATCCGACCGAAACCGGAAACGTCGAACTACTTCACAGCTTAGGAGGTCCTACCAGAGTATACACTCGGCTGTGCATCGCACTTCGACACCAGTGTCACCCCCACGCCACGATGAGGCGGCCCACCATTGTGGGGGTTTTTCATTACTCTTTTCT